CTCTGCCCACCTCCATAGGTTGCCACTCCCGAACAGCCCTTGCCCCAACCGTCTGTTAAAGGCTATAACGGAGCAGCTTTTAGTAGTTGCCGTGCAGTAACAGCACTAAACCGGGATTGAGTGGCCCGTGATGTTTGTGTGCAGCGTGGAGATGCGATTTCCATTTTCTCCATTTTATCTTCAATCTTTTAGAGGTTCCCCCCCCCCTCTCAAAAAAATATTTCGTTATCGGGAACACGACATCCGCCCCACTATATACGTTCCAGCAACCCACAAAAATGATTCACTCCCAGAAGGTCATGGGAGTTGATGGGTTACGTAGAGAATATTTTAGGGTTTTTTTATGTGGAAAGACAAGTATATGAAGGAAACACATTATCTCCATTTCCATTATGTTCCTTATATTCTCCACAACGACGCGAATGACTATTTAGTAACACTGTATTTCGTTGTGCATCGTCAAATGACCCATATTCTAAACAGAGGTGCTTGCCAATAAAACAGCTGGCAGTTCACCAACATTCATTCAAGCAAGCATCACTCTGCTGATGAGACGCTTTACGTTAAATCCCTTCCAATAGTTGCTTTTATCGAGTCAAAGCTGCTGAAATGTACTCCCAGAATGCCGTTGGGTTAATATAGTTTATACTTTTAAATTTTTGACGAAACAGACATTGTCAGTATGACGCAAATATCCGAGCTACCGAACGATCGCGAACCGGCTGTGACTCACTGATGAGTACTGCGTGCAGGAAACAGCTTACATCGTAAAAAATATATTGACCTTGGAGATCTCCCGGCCCGAAGGCTGATTAATGTATCTTTCTTTTATTATTATAGTTATCACGGTGGCAATGCGGGAGGGCTTGATGCTCACAATACAAAGCGGCCAACAGAGCTACAGGAAGGGCTAAATTAAGGTCACCAGGTGCTTTGCAGTAAACGATCCCCAAGGTGATGGTGGAAGGGGAAGGCTCTTTGCCTTTAACATCTGGCAGCCCCTTTCATGGTTTTATCGGCCTGACTGCCGATGACATTCAGAAAGTTGAACTGGCCCATGATTTGACGTCCCCTTGAACAGACGCGTCTGAAAAACGTTGGTTCAGAAAGGCGCCGGGCAAGCCGATGGACGAGGAACTGAATATAATTTATCGTTAATTCGTGAGACATAGACTCGTCTTTTTAGCTAATACTGCATGTATTTAGTACACAACGTTGCTGTATTTTAATTATAATTTACGTTCTATATGAAGTTGGGGCACGGCGGAGGGTGGCGCAATTGTTTACACCTACACTATAAGCCCAGTGACCTATCTTCGATTCCCAACCATGGCTCACATCAATGTTGAGTGATATCTGAACCGTTCCCGGAGCCGCATTTTAACCATTTCGTACTTACCAGTTTGAGCGTGGTGGCTGTGTGTTGTGAGCGTGGTGGCTGTGCGTTGTGAACGTGGTGGCTGTGTGTTGTGAGCGTGGTGGCTGTGTGTTGTGAGCGTGGTGGCTGTGTGTTGTGAGCGTGGTGGCTGTGTGTTGTGACCGTGGTGGCTGTGTTGTGAGCGTGGTGGCTGTGTGTTGTGAGCGTGGTGGCTGTGTGTTGTGAGCGTGGTGGCTGTGCGTTGTGAGCGTGGTGGCTGTGTGTTGTGAGCGTGGTGGCTGTGCGTTGTGAGCGTGGTGGCTGTGTGTTGTGAGCGTGGTGGCTGTGTGTCGTGTGCGTGGTGGCTGTGTATTGTGAGCGTGGTGGCTGTGTGTTGTGACCGTGGTGGCTGTGTTGTGAGCGTGGTGGCTGTGTGTTGTGAGTGTGGTGGCTGTGTGTTGTGAGCGTGGTGGCTGTGTGTTGTGAGCGTGGTGGCTGTGTGTTGTGAGCGTGGTGGCTTTGAGAATTGCCGGTACTGTGGGCGGGAGACTGTGGTGAGGCGATAAAAAAGGAAGCTGTCGTAATCCTGGAATTAAACCTCTTTTGTCTGTGAGAAACGTGTCTGGGACTGACTTGAAACCACCCTTGTAATTACGTTCTACTATTGCGCAAAGTTTGAACGACTGAGGCGGGGAGAGGGCACGGGAGTTCCAAACTCAAGTTCTGCTGGGGGATGTAAAGTTACGTGCTGCCGTGAAGCGGCCGCCCGAATCCGTTCAAACAAATCACGACTCTCCCGGCCCAAAACCCACCAGAAACTTTTATCAGAATGTTTTTTTTTCATCCTGGAGAAATCCGATGAGCTCTGAAGCTCTTTTTCACATGTGTCTGCCCAGTTTACAGGTGTCCCGTATTCTCGCCACATTCCGCCGGGCGTTGCTGTTATCGCCATCGAGAGCAATCAGCGGAACCTCGTGGCTTCCATCACCAGGGCCCAACTACTACTACCACCCCTCCTGTATTACACCCCCTTCTTTACACCACCCTACATACCCCAACAATCAAATCTGTAAATGACTAGAAACACCGTCATGGAAAAATAGTGCAGGCCGGTAAACCGTCAATCCATCCATCAGTGTTCGTTTATACAGTATATATAAATATACAAAAGGAACAATTCAGAAAGTGTGTCAAAGTGCTCGTGCAGAAAAGGTAAAAGCAGGTAATTATATCACGCGTTTAAGATATATTGGCTAAACATAAGTTTCTTACGGTGCACGCAAACGCATGTAAAAAAATCGCTCCACCTTTGTACGTTTCGTCTTATGTCACAATCAAAATAAATTTGAGCTAATTTTGACCGACGGACAGCAGCAGCAGCAGCGGCAATGCAGATGTAGAGAACTGAAGATCGGCTTTGTTATTATTAGGACTCATCAGTAGCACAAGATTGGCACCAATGCTTGCTGCTGCCAAGTCCACCTCTGGAAACCTCCATATGTGGAGGCTTCACTTCAACACGATGGGGCTTATCAGCCTGGCACATGCCAACGCCAATCAAATGTGTTAATAGCGATAAAAACCCGTAACGGAAACTTCACAAAACACCTCGTAACACCTTCAAAACCTAGCCCTTCCTCCCCCACCCCCCATCTAAATTCTTACGAAGTAGTTAAGTCAAAAAATGTTATCCATAAAAGGTGTTTTTGGGTTAGATCGCGTCAATATAAATGTGTCGTTAAACCCGCCACCACCCGACACAGCCAATTAGTAAAGTTTGTCACGTCAACAGAACGTGGCCATTTCGTTACTAGTACAGCACACCGGTGTGTTGGAGAGTAAACCCACAACATTTGCAATTTGAGCACGACATTTCGCTAGTAATTACAACCAGCATCATCAGGTGACAGCCAGAGTTGTGAAGAAATCCTCCTCCCGTTTCGGTCTTCAAAGAATGCTGGTACAGTATTAAAAATGACTCCCCCCCCCCTCTCTCTATCTTCTCTCTTTAGGCTTTCAGAATCAGAATCAGTATTTATACTGCTGGAGGAATCCGATGAGCTATAAAGCTCTTTGTTCACAGATGTCCAATAGGGGCACGGTAAGAGCGCTACGACAACAAACAGTTACAAAAACACGGTAAGAGTGCAAAGTACGAGAAAGGGAAACAAATCGCCCAAACAAACAAATACAACAACTAAACCATCCCCATCCTGCCAGGCAAAGCCCACTGAGGTATTAACTTAGTTTTCCAGAAGCGACCTGGCCACAAATGATAGCTCAACAAAGTGGCCCAACATTTGGACATTTATAGCACCAAAATAATCGAAATAATCCCATCGTCTAAGGATGCCCTATACATGTAAAATATTGTAAATATTTCACTCCGGGAACAATTAAGTGCCACAGCCGTTGCCCATATTCTGTACACGGTGGGGGTGGGATCCTATCCAGAGCAGAATGCACGACAGACAAAATCGGATCCAGATCGCCACTCATTTCGCTGAGCGCTTGACATCCGTTTAAAGTTCGTTTAACATTGACCGTGTTGTAGATGCGCCCCCCCCCCGGAGTTTTTGTATGCCTCCCCTTTAAACAAGGTCACACTACAGGCTCCGCATGATTCTCAGATGGGACAAGGCTCCCTGAGGGGGTACATTTGGGGGGAGGGTGGGTGGCACCACGCTGGCTCTGAACATATTTTGCGTTTCCTTTGTTATTGGCAAAGCCATCTGTTCCAAATGCTTCTCGTGTCTTGGGGCTCATACGGGCGAGATGCAGAGTTGTCGTGTGTGGGGATGTTGGCTGTGGATGTGGCCGTTTTTGTTGTCGACGGTGTTGGTACGAGTTGCGGGTTGAAGGTTGTAGCGGTGGCGATTGGGGTTGTAATTGACGGTTGTTGTAGTTGGCGAGAGTTGTGTGCGTTAAAGACGAACATTGTTTGGGGTTTGCTGTTGTAGTGATGGGTTTTTTTTTCTCGCAAAATCACGGTTGCCCAGCACAGGCCCAAAGCGCCTGGCACGCCAAGTGGCCAGCACCAAACTGCACTTTGGAGGTGTTACGGATAAGGAGTCAAATACGCTCGTTGTGATTGAGCAATGTTATCAGGACTTGGGGGTGGTGGGAAATTGGCGACGGGGAGTGAGGCAGCGAGAGCAGCGTTGTGTTTGTGGCGTTGTGTTGCCCTGTGCTTATCGTAGGTAGGATTTGTCTGTCGAAGGCTGCAGTGGGGACGGTTGTTTGTTGTGGATTCTGGGTTGTCACGGCTGTTCGTATTCACATGAGAACATGTGTTGCTGTGGTGACGGAGGAAGGGAGAACGCCGGCATTCAAAAAAATGTTGCTTAGTTTTCAGTTAATAAAAAAAAATCCACTTATTATTGGTGCTGCTCCCGGCCAGCGCCGCTGCGCTCTGTTTTCATGGATTGTAACAGCGAGATCTCCTCTGTTGTGAAATAGCGGATTCCTTTTCAGCGCTGCCAAGAGTGATGTCATAACAGTCATTTGGCGGTTGGGTAATTGCCGTGAAAGAAAAAAAATAACCGGTCTTTAGAAACTCGTGCGAGCTCGAGCAGCTCCATCTCTCGCTCTCCGCCGCCGCCCCCTTGTCTGCCTGCCCGCTCGCCCCATCTCTCCTCCGCAGGGTGATGCCCAGCACTGCGTGGAAGCCACAGAAGTCTTCCCCCACGGCCTCTAAGTGGTGGCACCAGCTGCCTCCTCCGCCCCCACTTCCTCCTCCAACTTCACGATCCGCAGGCGCTTGTGCCCGGCGTCTCCCCGAGCTGCCTTCCTGCCACCGGCTGCCATCGCTGCCCTCGCGGCGGCTCCTAATCTCGATCGCCCCCCCCCCCCCCGCTGCCGGCGGCGGCTCGCGGTCGCGGCGGCCATGATGAATATGCTGAAGCCCAGTGGCCTCAAGGCGCCCAACAAGGTCGGCCGCTCCGGCTTCTCCTTCGGCCGCTCTCCCTCCTCCTCCTCCTCGTCCTCCGCGGGTGAGTGCGGCTCGGGGAGGTTGATCACTAAGTCGGTTGCTGTCGATCGTTATTGATCGTGATCGACCGCACGCCTGGCGTTCAGTTGCTTAGAGGCAGGAGTCGGTGGATTCATTAGACGTTTGTGGATCTCTCAAAGATCCGCCGGGCTTTTACGGTGTCCAGGAGATGGCAGTGCAGTAAGTGGGATTGTGTGACCCATCTTTGTGGACGCTTGCATACTCTCTACCAAGGTTGTTTCATCATCATTAATAATTAATTATACCGTGCCTCCCATGCAGTATGCCTCGAGGTGCCAGAACATATATACGGTTAAAGAAGAATTCGGTATAGACAAGGCACACAACAAACGCTCTTGAGGTCACTCTCCATTTCATCCACTTCATTTGAGTTTTCTGGGTGTGCTGATGCTCGCTTGCAATCCATCGCTTTGGGAGCAAGGGTTGGTGGATCCTGCACACGACAGCTGCCTCGACGGCCCGGGTCCGGGATTTTGTAAACTCCACCAACATTCAGCGCCCCGTGACCAAATCATTCGTAATCCGCTCGATCCCGTCGGATCTCAGAAGCTGAGCAGGGTCGAGTCTGGATAGAGCTTGGATGGGCAACCACCGCCCAATCCAGGTTGTTATCGGTGACGCCGGGGCTATGCCACGCCGTGAACAGCGGGGGCCAGTGCAGCAACATCACTCGCTGTGCTGCACTTACATGCTCCCCCGCCTTTTTCACCAATGTGCACTGGCCAGCACGGTGAAGTACGGTCAAATAACCCCCACCTCTCCCCCCCCCCACAATCCACACGGCGTGGGGAGGCCTTCATCCAGCAGTGGATTTACAAAAGGGATGTACATTGTTCATCGCTCTATGTATGTTGAACTTCTTTCGCACCGTAACATAGCCAGAACCGTCCGAATCAGAGGTGCGGGGGGAAGGACAACGATCTAAATACAAAAGGGGCAGTTCTAAATAAATCTAAACTGTAGCGGTGGCTAGGGAATTGTGGGGTGAAAAACGGGGCCCCCACATTCATGATTATTCCGGAGCGGCCACATCATTTGATTGGAATCAATCGCAAAGCCATCAAACAGCGCCGTTTATGGCCACAGGGACAGAGTGCCGCACTGACTCATTCTGCCCCTCGAGGCGGAATTGAAGTCACCGCACGCAGATCGTGGTTGGTGGGGTGAGCCGGGGTGGTGAGGCAGGGTGGTGATGGGGTCAGAGAGTTCAACCCTCTGGCCATGTGAGCCAACAACAACAACGACTACTGTACTATCTCTTAATGTGTATACCACAACTGGGCTGTCTGATTATTTAGATTATTTTGCCGCTATAAAAGTTCAAATGATGGGCCACTTTGTTGAGCTATCATTTGTGGTGGCCAGGTCGCTTTTGAAAAAAAGTTAACACCTCAGTGGGCTTTGTCTGGTAGGATGTGGATGGTTTGGTTGTTGTATTTGTTTGTGTTTGGGTGAATTGTTTACCTTTCTTGTACTTTGCACTGCTCCTATCGTGTTTTTGTAACTGAGTGCACACACATGTCTTATAAAATAAAATTAAACAATTAAATCACGATGTTTCGGAGGCAACACAAGCTTCCGTCTTTAGGTGGAACAGTCACAGCAGAATATCTGTGTCAAGTGCTATAGATATTCTGCTGTGACTGTTCCACCTGAAGACGGAAGCTTGTGTTGCCTCCGAAACGTCGTGATTTAATTGTTTTATTTTATTTTACCTACGTGACTTTACCGAATAAAACCAAAGAGTATGAATCCTTGCAGTCACGAAAGCTTCAAATCTAGAATGTCTTATGAAATTTAGTTTTACACTTGGTTTGGCTACATTTGATCTCGAAGAATCGAAAATATCAGTTTGAGTGTCATACTACAACAGTACTCCGCCGTCTTTCATGTAGGAAAGTGCTGCCACTCCTGTGTCGATACGAGGTCACTTCACTGAAAGGGATCTCAGAAGTAGTTCTGTGATATCTGATTCTGTGGAGCATTCTCCAGCACAAAGGAGCACTGCTCTGCGCAATTTCTGAATTGATTCTTTGTCTCAGGACACGATGACGATGGCACAATTCCAATAATATTTGGGATAAAGACGACAAAAACTTTCTTTCAAAATCTATCTCTTGACAAAGCCCCCGAAGCCTCTTTCATCTCAAAAAATATTTTTAAAAATGGCAGAAAACTGGGTCGTCTTTTAAAATTGGTTCCGCCGGGAATCTAGGCCAGGGTTCGCCAATTTGGCTTCGCAAATTCCACGCGGCGAAGGCACGACCCGTGGCCAAATCTACACCATGGCATTAGGGGGACCGGCACGGCGGTGCGTGCACCGGCCCGCTCAGTCCGGCGCTGTGATCCTGCCTCGACAGGATTAATACTCGGGCTCATAATCCCGATGGGATCAGCATGTCCAGCAGTCCGGGGAATCCGGGGGGCCCAAACGCGACCTCTCCAAGCTGCTCGCTGCGGTCGGCGCGTCGCGAGCTTTCCATCGCACTGTGCGGTTTAATCTGCCGTTGAAACCGCCCGATGGCTCTAGATTTTACTTGCGTTTTTTTATATTTGTTGATACCCTTCGCGAAAATCTGTCTGGATTTGGACCCCTCCCCCCCAAAAAAAACATTTAAAATCTCAAGCATCGACATGCTTGGCATAACAAATATATATTTATATGTATTTGTGATTTACAAATGTGTATGATTTAAATGTTTCCTACGCCACGGTGAAGACAGCTCTGAATAATAAATAGAGCACCACCGCCTCTCGGAGCCAATCTGGGTCATGTTTACTGACCGTTTAATGAATTCTAGGGAGGTTGCATTTATCAGTCGGTGTATTAAGGATTTCGCCAAAATATTTAAATGATTATTCAGTTGTAGCGGTGACTGCCGCTGCTTGTTATCATTATTGGTGCTGTTGAGCATCCGTTATGCTGGTTGTGGTCGTTATTGAACATTTATCACCAAGGACACTACCAAAAGAAAATAAAGCACTCTATTTGATTTGCTTCGCCAATCACTATTTCCTTCAAATATGTGTCCGGTTACCTTAATGAAGGCCCATTCACTTACATAGTGGTCTATTCAAATCATATACAGTAGAAGTATTTTCACTTTCCTCCCTGACTGTTCGATGTAATAAAGGTCTTCTCACTTCCATAGAGAGTGCTATTGCAACTAAAGAAAAACGAATTCAGTCAAGTAAGTGCCTCTACCCCTCAAATGAGCATGCACTACTGCTCATCGCCTTCGATGACCCTACACTTGTCGTGGAAAGTCCACGTTCCTCTGGTGGGGGGAGTGGGGGGGTCCCATGTTATCCACCAGAACCACCATTATTATCGCATCTTCCTACAAGACACCGGCAGCAGGCTCGGGCCTAACGATCGATGACGTTCAACGTCCATTTCTCTCGCTCCCGCGCAGCTGCTGCAGCCACGGCCCCTGCTGCTGCCACCGCCGTCTGTGCCGCAGCTGCAACGCCGGCGTCGCCAACGACGACGATGAGCGGCACCTCTGCCAAACCGCCGGCGGCAGGGCACGTCCCGGGCACGTCGAGCCCCACGCACACCGACTCGACTCGCGCCAAACCCAGCAAGGCCGGTGGGCACTGACTGCGGGCGAGGCAGGGGCTTGGGGTTGGGGTGAACACGTGGGAGATGGTTGGATTGGTGGGCGAGTGGGCACAGCTATTTGTGGCGGAGAATCGTCCATCACGCTATTGCGGTTGTTGTTGTTGGTGGTGTTGGTTATCGACTGGTTGGTTGGTTGGTTGATTCCCAGGATGCGCAAGGTTGAGTAGAAAGGCCACTCAATGTTATCCACACCATGCTGTCAGCCTCAAGTCATGGGACAATTAAACCGTTTGGAACCCTGTGTGTAGATGCCGCAGAACTGCTACTGAGGTCACTTCAGGTCACCTCCTGTCGACAGTAGGGGGGCAGCACTTTCCCACTCCTGCTGCTACTAAGAGGAATATACGTCACGTAACAGTCAAACTGATACTTTTAGCAATCTTAAGAGCTGGAATTTCAACCAATTTATCTGCCAATCCCAATTTTACGTGAAGGGTTTTGTGCAGTTATTGGTGACCGAGCTGGGACGGGCTGAATCGATCCCCGCTTTGGTTGTCGTTCGGCTGCTCTAACGATAGCGCCAAGCGGGCAGATTTATAAACAACCAGCTCACGCTGTTGTTGTTGTTGTTTTTCTTCTGCCTGTCGGTGGCGTGCTTTTCACCATGAGCAATCGTGTGGGGTTTTTTTTGTTCGCTTTCAAATCGATAATATTGAGCAAGTCTGAATTTGCGAGCTGCCGTCCATGAAATTAGGCGTGGCATGCGAGCCTTCTTTAGCGAACGCAGTGTACAGCAAAGACGGCCGAGGTCACGTGGCGATTGCGTTGACAGACGCACGATTGAATCGTTTTCCACAGGAGGGAGGAGCTGCCCGGCAAACGTGTAACTGTTGGGCCAACGTTGAGGCAACGTTCGGCCAACATTGCACGTTTACTGAGTGGCCAGTCTGTGGATGAGGGTTGGAGTTGAGGGCTTGAGCAATCTTCTCGAATATTCACGTTTTCCACGTGAAGTTGGAAAGGCACGGGAGAGGGAACGGAGCTCCAAATCGGGCAGACAAGTGGCAGAAAATTATTCCAGTCCAGCAGTGGCAATGCAGCTGCACTTCAATGTAACTTTTTCCTTAACCACACAAATAAAAAAACGCAATAATTAATCTGAGTACCAAAAATCGCTGCTGCTGCTATGAGCACGCATGCACATGCGCGCGGGTGACCATGACATGGATGGTACCACCTTTGTGCTCGAGCCCCTTAAATGGAGTGCGGCGATCAATGAAATATCGCCAGCACGTAGCGATGCCATGTCGCCGATTCTGGCGGCGCCGTGAGAGCGAAACGATTTCCATAGAAGCCGGCGGTTTGGTTGGTGGCTCGTTGGGGAGACGTCTGTTGGTTGGCGAGGAGGAGGAGGAGGTGGGGGGGCGCATGAGGGCTCTAAAAGCGCGACGCGAATTGCGTCGCCGCTCCAGCCTCGCGCCGGAGCGGCTCGCACGCGGCAGCTGCGTCTGCCGGAGCCATTGCGCAATGACCACCACTGACCCGCGTGGTGAAGTATGGTCAAGCAACGCCCTGCCCGGTCGCGGGGAGGCCTTCATCCACCACTGGATTGACAAAGGGGGCTGTCAATCGTTATTAATATTATTTTTAATGAGGCCATTTACAGGAGAGCTTCGATTAGGCACTTTTGTAGAATTAAGCCAAATTGGAACAAAAAATTAATTGGCAGTTGAACTCGGCTGGCCTCCCGCTGTAGAGGGAACTTATTAAAGGGTCTTTGAGTGCCCTTCGTTTTTTTGGCCGTTACGTGGCGTCAGGACGTAGCTGCGCTGACGCCAGTGTGGTGGTGACGGGTGATGTAACGGAGCCAAAATGTTTCTTTCTCGACCCTAGCACCCACTGACGACGGAGGTAACGTGGCTCATCCCACAAGCATTTACTTCGTGAGCAAATATTCACTCATTGAATATTTGCAATAGTAATTGCATTGTTTGAAAAGTGTTTTCTGTGTTTTATTCGTATAGCATTGTAATTCGGTGATAATCGTGTGCAAAACAAACCTGAGTTTTTAAGTTAGCTTGTCACCTAACCTGACATATTTCCAGCTGCTAGGGTTACAAACGTGCCCGTTTGGATTCACGCGGCATGCGCTTCTGTAGCGGGGCCTGTGAATGAGAAGAAGCAGTGCCACCCTTAGCGCGGATAAGAGGCGATCGAAGGGACCTCAGAAGCAGTTCTATGGCGTCAACTTCCATAGAGGGTCGTTTTCTAACACTGGGGCGGCGGAGGGGCGGGATGTTACACTGCTCGACAAGAATGTCAAATTCAAAACGTGCATCGTCCCGTGGCGTGACGGTGATAGCACGGTTACTAGACCATCGTGTGCTTTGTCTATGTACTTAACATCCTGCATGTACTTAACATCCTGCATGTACTTAACATCCTGCATGTACTTAACATCCTGCATGACCTTAACATCCTGCATGTACTTAACATCCTGCATGTACTTAACATCCTGCATGTACTTAACATCCTGCATGTACTTAACATCCTGCATGTATATTCTTAGTTTTTTCGGAAAAACTAAGAATATGAATTACTGCAGTCACGAAAGCTTTAAATCAAAATCCTGCATGTACTTAACATCCTGCATGACCTTAACATCCTGCATGTACTTAACATCCTGCATGTACTGAACATTCTGCATGTACTTAACATCCTGCATGTACTTAACTTCCTGCATGTATTTAACATCCTGCATGACCTTAACATCCTGCATGTACTTAACATCCTGCATGTACTTAACATCTTGCATGTACTTAACATCCTGCATGACCTTAACATCCTGCATGTACTTAACATCCTGCATGTACTTAACATCCTGCATGTACTTAACATCCTGCATGTACTTAACATCCTGCATGTACTTAACATCTTGCATGTACTTTACATCCTGCATGACCTTATCATCCTGCATGTATTTAGCATCCTGCATGACCTTAACATCTTGCATGTACTTAACATATTGCATGTGGCATAATTCGGGCGTGCGGTCAAAAGAAAGCCGTCCCTTGGTGTGGACCAATCAGTGTCAAGGACAATGCATATATTATCATAGTATGTTTTTTGTTTGCATTTTGACTGCAGGTATTGTGGTTAATGCAGACATGAATCCTCGTAAAAAGGTTTCAGTTTTGTTGCCAGAAAAAAAGGGAAAACCCTTATTATTATTTTTACGTAATTTCCTTATTTCGTCTCTGACCCGTGTTCCCGTCGCCGCGACCCCGCGACCCCCACGGCAGACTCGGAGGAGCGGGATGAATTTATCGACGACTTCATCATCGGCGAGCGCGTTTGGGTGAACGGCAGCAAGCCCGGCCACATCCAGTACCTGGGCGAGACGCAATTCGCGCCGGGCCAGTGGGCCGGCATTGTCCTGGACGAGGCCACGGGCAAGAACGACGGCGCCGTCTCCGGCGTGCGGTACTTCATGTGCGAGGCCGGGCGCGGCATCTTCACGCGGCCCTCCAAGTTGTCGCGCCGCCCGCTGGCACCGGGGTCAGCGGTCGATGGGCGCTGCGCGTCTCCCGCAGCGACGCCGCTGCACGGGCAGGCGTCGGCGGGCGGAGGTGAGCTCGAGCGGCGTGGTTAGGTGACAAGCTAACTGGGGGAGGGGTGGGAAAAAGCAATATGCAAACGAGGCGGTAAATTCATAATAGAGGTTTTTGTGTTAGATCGCGGAAATATAAATGTGCCGTTAAACCCGCCACCACCCAACACAGCCAATTAGGAAGGTTTTTTTTTCACGTAAACAAAACGTCCCGATTAGTTACTAGTTCAGTACACCGGTGTGTTGGAGAGTAAACCCACAATAGTACTGGAATTGTAAATGTTGTGGGTTTACCCTCCAACACATCAATGTGCTGTACTAGTAACGAATTGGCATGTTTTGTTTACGTGACAAACCTTACTAATTGGCTGTGTCGGATGGCGGCGGGTTTAACGACGCATTCATATTTACGCGATCTCGCCCAAAAACCTCTCATGGATAATATTGGTCACGAAAGCCGATGTGTTAAACTGAGGCGGTAATTACGAGACAAAAACAATCAGGTTCTTGAAATCGAATGTTGACCCCCGATCATGGAGTTGCATTGAATCTCTTGGGGGGCACAATTTGGATTTATACGGCATCTAAATGTCTCAACTAAGCTGTACACGTCACCCACGACCGGACATCCCGAGTCGGATTTACCAGCCTCCTCAACCCGGAGCTACGAGCCACCGCTTGCAGCCGAAAAAATTACATCGAAGGCCGTTGTGGCTTTCCAAGCGTGATCACCGCCGCGTGGTTTTGTCGTTTGTGTTTTCTTTCGTGTTTTTGCGGGAGGCGTAGGAGCGGCTCGCTCCAGCTCCACGACGCCGCTCACCACGCCGCGTTCCTCCTGCTCCGCCCTCTCCTCGCGCGACGCCGGCCTCCTCTCCTCCTCCTCCAACGTCGCCGCAGCCGCCGTCGCCACCACAGCAGCCGCCGCCGTCGCCGCGGCCGTAGCGTCGGGACCTTCCAACCTGGCGCGCACCGGCAGCCAATCGGTGGGGAACCTGTCGGAGAGCGGCTCCGCCAAGAGGGCGGAGCGCGACCTCAAGATGGGAGACCGCGTGCTGGTGAGCGCACTCCTTGTGCCGCCCCCGGGCCCAGTCTGTCTCTGTCGGCCTCTGTCCGTTGCCGTCTCTCCGTCCGTCTCTGTCCGCCTGTCTCTATCCCGCCCTGACCTGTTTCTCTGTCTCTGTCTGGCCCCGTCTGTCTCTTAGTCTCTGTCTCCCGCTGTCTCTACGTGTGTCCCTCTCTGCCCCTGTCTGTGGTTGTCTGTCCACCGTCGTGACTGTCCGTGCTGTAGACCCAGAATGTCGTCTCTGCCGGAGCCACGGTGCTCCCCTGTCGGTCAGCTTTAGGGGCAAAGCGTGCGTCGCACAATGGCGGATCGCTTACGTGTGGGTTCTTCAACTGGCGGGCAGGTGGGCCACGCCTGGCCCATGGGAGGCCCTTGGAGGAGTGGTCTGCTAAAACCTTGACCTGCCGAGAGATACGGCTTGCAAAGAGATACAGGTTGGTGACAGATGACAGCTCGACAAGAATTCGAGATAAGATATTTGCAGAGAAGAGAGATACGGATTATCCAGATGAAAGCAAATAAACAGGAGATAGATACAGGGGAGCTGTAGAGAAGAGGCAAGCTGTACCGAGCTGAGATAAGAGAGAGACCTGGAGATAAGAAGGTATGGGTCGGTGGTTGCATGCACATATTCATGCACATATGTTACAATTGTGACGACGTGATGTGACGTCATGAGGATAAGTCACCATAGTGTGACAATCCTAATCTGATGGCAGTACAGCAAGTAGGTGACCGACCTATCCGGCCAGATTATGTTTGGAACGGTATTCCCTTAGTATGTGTGGGGTTTCCCCAGGTACTGTACTTCCCTCCGACATGCAAACTCAAACACAAATGTGGTCGCCAAACGGCACCAGCGAAAATTCCTCTTGAAAATTAATCTTGAGGGCTTTTCTGAGTGAGCTAATAAATAAAGTGCCATCCAATTAGCCGGTCGGTGGCAGTGCACGCCTCTGATTTAGAGCTTCATGCGAAAGGGTTGGTGGATCACGCTCATCGCTCGCAAGAGTGAATTGCGCAATCTCCGGTTGACCGCGATTGAATCGGCATCAGAATATTTATTCATGCTGGAAGAATCCGATGAGCTATAAAGCTGTTTCTTTGGCACAGATATTCAGTCGGGAAACGGGGGTCCTAATCTTACAACAACAACAACAAATAATTTAAAAACCCGATAGAAAAGGCAAACAAATCACTTACCAAAAATACACACAAACAAAACGAGGCGAGGCGGGCCGCTCCGTCGGGAAGCGCGAGGCGGCCGCGTTGCAAGCGGAGGTTATTCCCGGGTCTTCGTGCTTTCGTCTGCATTGCATCCCGCGCACCCCGGGGAATTCGATCCCATCTCGCGCTCAACCAGCGGACGCATTTGCCGGCGTCCACTCCCCGCCCGTAGACGGCCGGACCCGGAGAGTTCGCACCGAGCGTCTCTTTTGGCCTCGTTCCCATCGGTAATGCAACGCCGCGGCCGGTAGCGCGCCGTCTGCATGTGCCTGACGCCGCCGCCGCCGCCCTCCGGCGCAGCTCCGATGATGCTGCATAATGTTTGCACGCCGCTCCGCTGCAGGGCTCTCCCCGCCCGCGAGTTCCGGCCGCGTTTATAAAAACCGCCCGCGGGGCGCGGTCCGCAGCGCACATCCGAGCGAGCGGTCGCGAGAGACGGACACTTAGAGCGGTGCCGCCTTCGAGGCCTCGGCCACCGCCCAGGGCCCGCGCGGGTTCACGCGTCTCTCTGGTTAGCGGCGGCGGTGGCTGCGGTGAGTTTCAGTGGTGGTGGGGTTTTTTTTTGTTACCGTCCGAATATGATAAAGGTAAGTGCACAATCATTTTTGACGTTTAATTTCATCCATCGGCTGTTTGTTTTTAATTTTTGTTCATGTGGTTTGTGAGCAGCAGAGGGCAGTAGAGTGAGATGAGAGGGGAGAGGTATGAGAGTGCATGGAGGGGAGTGGAGTGAGATGAGAGGGGAGAGGCAGGAGAGTGCGTGGCGGGGAGTAGAGTGAGATGAGAGGGGAGAGGTAGGAGAGTGCGTGGAGGGGAGTGGAGTGAGATGAGAGGGGAGAGGAAGGAGAGTGCGTGGCGGGGAGTAGAGTGAGATGAGAGGGGAGAGGTAGGAGAGTGCGTGGAGGGGAGTGGAGTGAGATGAGAGGGGAGAGGTAGGAGAGTGCGTGGAGGGGAGTGGAGTGAGATGAGAGGGGAGAGGTAGGACAGTGCGTGGAGGGGAGTGGAGTGAGATGAGATAGGAGGCTGTAGGAGAACACTAACAGAGGCCGGCCACATCCAGTGCCTGATGTTTCCTCAACAACAAACATCGGATACGGAAGCTTTTTTATGCAGTGCTGTCGCTCCGATGCTGTCACTTTGGCCGTCAAATTCGAGAGACAGGGGCTGCGAGAGCAGTGGCTGAACAACAACAACAAAATAAACATTTATATGGCAAAAACAAAAACATTGCCAACTTAATATTCTATCGGGAACTAATTGCCGTTAAACAATTGTATTCTGCTTGTAAAACTGGCGGTTATTTATTATTTAGTTTTTCGGCACCGCGAATCTCATTAATCTGGATGACCGCTGGTTCAAAAGTCACCGCTGATGGTGGGCGGCGGTTGAAGCCGTAGGCCGAGCCACCGGCTTGGATTTCACCGCTGCCGTTGTCACAGCAACGCGAGCCGCACACGCTTCAATTTTAATCCTCGCCGTGAAATAACATCGTGCCGGAATCCACACGATTCGTGATCCTGAGCAGAGAGAGGCTGGGAGAGGGGATGTCTCAATCCGTAGAGATTCTCTCAGTGTAGAGGGATTCTGTTAACCGACCTTCAGAATCGGTCAATCAATGGGAAATCTCAATCCATAGAGACAATCTGTCAGTCCAGAGGGAATATCTCAGTCTGGAAGGATTATGTTAAGCGAGGTACACCCAAAGGGATATTTCTCAACAACCCACGCCGACAGCAGCATTTTTATAACATTCCAACCGTGACGAATTCCTCCGATTCCTAGTGAAGAACGACCGCCACCACTTGGCGCGTCGCATCGCCCGCCGCGTCTCCATCAACCCCGCCGCGTCTCCCTGCCCGGGGCTGTTGCAGGTGGGCGGCACCAAGGCGGGCGTGGTGCGCTTCGTCGGAGAAACGGACTTTGCCAAGGGCGAGTGGTGCGGCGTGGAGCTCGACGAGCCGCTCGGGAAGAACGACGGCGCTGTCGCCGGCACCAGGTACCGTACAGAGAGAGAGAAGGCGAGCGGGGAGAGAGAGAGAGAGATCGAGGAGGAGAGAGAACAAGGCACCTGCTGGCGATGTTCTCGACTGAATTAAAAAGAACATTGAAACTGAGAAAGGTAAAGGGGCTTCGCGGAGAAAATGTGATCATGCAGAGATTGCAGCAGCAGCAGCAGCAGTGGTGCCGCATGCCTGGGTTTAACAGAATCTGCATTAATTTCCCGAGTGGGTAGAATTTGGCACCGGTTCAACCCGTGGCTGCTGCTGCGGCCTTTCTCGCTCGTTTGTGGTTCCTCCTCCTTGAGCCTCTGAGTCATCCTTTCTCTTTTCCCTCTCTCTCTTTGAGAGCGAGCGGACGCTGCGGCGGCGACGAGCGGTGGTGCGGGTTACAAGTTTAAATTAAGATTTGGCGTTCATATTGGAAGTCGTTTGGTAGTCTTGACGTTAACAAGGTGAGAGCAACATTTCAATTTTCATACTCGAGTTGGATATGATTGACTCAACCTGGACGACGGTTTGCTGGGATAACGCATCTTTGTTGCAATTCTGGTGACGCTGTGATTTTCCAGGGACGAGTTTAAATCCGTCGCGGCAGAAGCGAGCAGCCGCGTCGTTATCTTGTCTCTGAACTAATGTTTGTTTTTTTGCGGTCGCTGCAACTTTCTACAAGATCGTAATACATACATGCAAAATAGTGTACGCTCTTCTTGTATGTGCTTGAACTGATGCAAGACCTTCTGGTGATTGAAGCGTAAGTGCCTCCCACCGCTTAGGATGATATGCTTGGTCCAATATAATTATGCACTATGCGGAGAAAGCGGGCGCGTATAAATGTTGCGAGTCGAGCAAACTGCCTCTCTGCCTCCATAATAGAGGGGTTTTTTTGCCTCTGCCTCACCGTCGCACAAGATACGAAATAATTCGCCCACATTTGGTGAATTCTCACAAACTCGCGACCGTGCGTCGATTTGATACTTGATTAGTTTGTTCCGTCTTGTCCGTGCAGTTTCTCGAGATATTATTGCCTCATTCGTGTTCTCGCCCGTTTTGCTATCTCATCCATTTCACTTAGCGATAAAGCAACATTTGTATACATTGTGAGTTCGTCATAAATAACTGATTTACATCCGTCGTAAATTACCAATGAGCGTAACCATACATTTTTAACCAAAGAACCGATCAATATTTTACATTCCTACCCACTACCTCCAAAGACATAGGTTCCCCATTTAGCCTTGACATACTGTTGGGGCAAGTGCTATTAGTTAGTATCTATGAAGGCGGGCACAGCACAATGAGATGGTGGTGTGGCTAGGAGCACATCTGGCCCCCTTCGTCTCCCCAGTGCTGATGTTTACACATCGCACCAGGTACTCTTTCAGGGCTGAGTGAACCTAGCGGAGGCCCGTCACTCATATTATCCATGACTGGAAATCAAACTCAGGTCACCGGGTTTATAGTGCAGTGTGCTAACCACGGTGCCATTGTAACGGGATTACAAGTCGACCTAGGGGAGGCCCAGGGACCGGTTAAGACATTCATCGCCTATGTTGGCTGCGAGCGGCAATCAAACTCGTCACCATGGCACATAACTACCTCGCCTGGTATACAGGAGGTCGTGGGTTCGATCCCGACCCTGTGATGCCTGCTGTATATTTGGAGTTTGCGTGCTATCCCCGTGGTCACGTTTTTTTTTTTTCCTCCGGGTCCTCCGGTTTTTCCCTCCACATTTATAAACGTGCGTTTAGGGTATTTGGCTGCTATAAATGTCCACGTGACAAGCCACTTCTTCGAGCTATCATATGTGGCCAGGTCGCTTCTGAAAACGAGTTATATAGCTCAGTAAGCCTTACCTGGTGAAATAAAAAATTAAAAGTTTTTTTATCGTTTCAACTCGGGTCGCTGGGCTCGTGGAGCAGTGCAGTGCGCTAACCGCTGTGCCGTGGCTCCCCGCCTCGCGCCCCATGCGATCTCTTGCCGTGCACGTGCGCGCACGTGCGCAGGTACTTCCAGTGCCAGCAGCGGTACGGCCTCTTCGCTCCGATCCACAAGGTGGCGAAGATCGGCTTCCCGTCGACGTCTGCGCGTCGCAAGATGAAGCGAGCGTCGGCCTCGGGGTTCTCGTCGCTACGCCACAGCCCCAGCAGCTCGACGGTCAGCTCGCTCAGCTCCGTGGCCTCGTCGGTCGGAGGGCGGCCCAGCCGCACGGGCCTGGTGAGAGAGGAGCGCTGACACGAACAACGACGACAACGATGATGTCGAGTAGAAAGATGACGACGACGACAGCAATAGTAATGATGAAAATTTTCCGCGCAGGTCTTGGCGGTCGGTGTTTGCGATTCGCGGTAGATTTTTGAGGTCGCCCACAGTGGGGAGAGAAAATGAAAATCAGAAAGGGAAATGTGGAAGATAGATTTGGCTGTATGCACATGGACACAAATGGGTCATAAGTAGCCAAGAAAATAAAATTGTCGCACGTACCAAGCGATTTACCATTGCTCCGGCTCACATGCCGGTGAGATTAACACAAATCCCTAATGGTCGGCCCTCCCTCACTCACTCACTCCCTCCCTCCCTCCCTCTCTCCCCGCGACAGCTGACGGAGACGAGCTCGCTCTACTCGCGTAAGATCGCGGGCAACACGGCGCTGCAGGAGGCGCTCAAGGAGAAGCAGCAGCACATCGAGCAGCTGCTGGCCGAGCGCGACCTGGAGCGCGCCGAGGTTGCCAAGGCGACCACCACCGTGGCTAACCTCGAGCGTGAGCTCGGTGCCCTCAAGACAACGCACGACAAGGTGGCGACGCGGCGCACGCGCCCGCACACGTTGCGACGACGGTCTCCCGCGCGCGTGCGCACGACACGCGATTGTCCGTCCGTCCGTCCGTCGTTGAGTTTGTCCGTCCGTCCTTTTATCGGTTCGTGAGTTCATTCATTCGTCCATCCAGTCACATCTTTAATTTTCCCATCTGCCTGTCCATTCCAGCGACACCGTGCAGATGCGAGTAATGGCTACGGTTGTGTCAGAAAATAACCCCCGTCCGCTCGCTTGCCCGCCCGACAGTCCACCGCGGAGATGGCGATGTGCCTGTGCGAGCTCAAGGCGGCGCTGGAGGTGACGGGCAGGGAGAAGGGTGAGCTCATCTCGCAGCTGGAGGAAGAGCGAAGGTGAGGAGGAAATCTTCGCCGGTCGGTCAGTTGTCGAGGCTCATCATCAGCCACGAACTATCCACCGCCATACGTAGGCCTCCCCGTGCCGTTGTCACACCTCGTGGTCTCGCGATGCCGCCATCCGTCTCGCTCCAACGCATGAGCTGATCTCGTTGATTTATCGCCCCTCCCCCCCACCCCACCCCGCAAGTTCTCTGCTTTGGCTGCCAATTGGTCACCAGTCTCGCCCAGCAACCGTTCGTTCCGAGCCACGATGTTTCCTGCCCAAGGTCCGCTCATATTCCTTAACGGTCAACGTGACGTCTCTGTGCACACCGGCAATTGGCTGCGTCATCTCTTGGACATCGTTAAAGTCCAACTCGCATTTGCGCCAGCCTGTGATCACTTCCTGTGTTGAATCTACCGAGGGCGGAGACATCGCCGGCTTTCTGAGTTTCTCCACTAAGGCTCTGCCATGTCACCTCTCTCGACGCCTTTTTGAACAGGGCTGCAAACATCATGGGACCTCCTTTGCCGGTACCAAAATATGAGAATAGGGTTTTCCCCTTTGTTTCTGGCAACAAAACAGGTGTTACGATGTTAAAACACCAAACTAAAAGCTTTTACAAGGAATCATGTCTGCATTGACCACAATACTTGTGGTCAGAATGCAAACACGCCTTTGGCGTCCTCTGGACTGACACCGTTTTGAGACGAGGCTCAAAAGAAAGCTGTCTCTGGTGTGGACCAATCAGTTTCAAAAACAATGCATCATATTATCAGAGTGTTTTTTCTTTGCATTCTGACCACAAGTATCGTGGTCAATGCAGACATGAGTCCTTGTTAAAGGTTTCAGTTTGGTGTTTTAACATCTTACTCTTTGTTTTTTCCGGTAAAGTGATGTAGGTAAAATAAAAATAAAAGAAAATAAAACAACTAAATTAAATCACGACGTTTCGGAGGCAACACAAGCTTCCGTCTTCTGGTGGAACAGACGCAACAAAGTTTGCTGTATCAAGTGTTTTATTTTATTTTTATTTTACCTACGTGACTTTACCGAAAAAAAAACAAAGGGTATGAATTCTTGCAGTCACGAAAGCTTAAAATCTAGTTTTAACATCTTACCACCTGTTTGTCGCCAGAAAAAAAGAGGAAAACCTCTTCTCATGGCTGCAAACGCTAAAGCCGCTCTCCTCTCTAGCTCCTCTCTCCAGTGCCAAATTTACCGATCATGCCGTCCTCTCCACTCATCTTTCAACTGTCTTTGGCGTTTCACGGTCGGGGCGGTCGGAGGTTCACAAATCCGCGCGAACCGACGGCCCTTGTTTGCCTCCAAAGCGTCGGACCGCAGGCGCGCGCCACCACACGCCGTTGCCTTCCGCTGCGTCGGTGTTTCGTGCTGCGCGTCGTTTGGCACGACGTCCCGACGATTCGCTCCTCGTGCAAGGAGCTTCTTCGCGAACTGAATTGTAGCGGCTCACTCTGTCACAACAACGACGATCGGCGTCGCTGTCTCACCGTTGCCGATGTTACCGGTTCTGGATGTTGGCTCGGCTCTTTCCGACGTACGCCGGTGGCCACTGTCGTTATTCTCTGTCTGGGAGGAAACTGGAGCTCCCAACACGTGGCGCGAAACGTCGGGCATCGTGCCGTACAACGCGCCGTACCACCCGAAAACGCATCGGAGAGCGCCTCACCTTCTGTCACCTGTGACCCGATTAGAACGTGTAGCCATTTGTGGTGGTGAATAATCTCTCCCCACGGGCATTGAATACTCTGTGACTCGTGTTGTCAGTTGTAAAACCCCACCCCCCCTTCTTTTCTTGATTACATGGAATCCCCCGGGTGGCCAGGAGAGTTGAGGACCTGCAGTTCTGCGTTGAGGAAGAGTCCATCACGAAGGGGGATCTCGAGGTACGCATTGCAACGCTTGCTGGACGTGTGTATGTATGGGCCAACAGAGAAAAGGCTTGAGGCATAAATAATGTGCCTTGAAATGTAATTTCTTAATGTTCACTACATTAAGAAATTACTTGAGTGCAAGTATTTTTTTACTTGCACTCAAGTATTTTTTTACTTGCACTCAAGTAAAAAAATACTCTGAATTCTTGTTAACTCCGTCAGGGAATAGGATTTGGTTTCATGTCTTTGATGCTACACTGAGCAACTCGTTCACGAAGAAATTTGGAACGCGATCTCAGAATAAGTTTTCAATTGAAAGATACGTGGACGTGGACTCGTGCGCAAAGAGAGATTGCGTTGTTGAAAACAAGCGCTGTAAATAAGAATTTGCAATATCACGTATTCATTTCTGAATCTTTCTTTACATAAAAGTCCATATGAAGAGGAACCCACACACCCAAAGTTCCCTCTCCTTGGAGCGGTTGCGCATTTTGGGGGGGGGGGGTGGACTGTACATTACCCCGACCCCACTTCCCTTGCCGCGGCGTTCACCGCGTCGTGCCATCCTTGCGGGCGGTCGCGCTAGCCGCGCGGACGCAAAGGTCGCGACGTCGGCAGCTGCTCCACCGCGACCCGCTCTCCTCCCAACCGCAGGCGCTCACGATGAGGGAGAGGTCGCGTATGCGGGAGCTGGAAGCTGAGCTGGCGCTGCGGAGGTCGGAGGTCGCCGAGCTGAGGTCGCGGCTCGGGGAGGGCAGCGCAACACCGTCGGCCCGCACCCCCGGTCAGAGGCCCCCCACCCTCGATTGTTTTTGCCCTCGATCTCCCCTCGTTTATTCCTCGCGTGGCCCCGTTTGTTCCGCGCCCTTTTAACGTGAAAGGTCGGTTGAATGGGGCGGCCAGGTTGAGTCGATAGAAACTGCTATGACTTTAAAACAAATATTGAATTGTTAAAAGAAATATCTTTTTTTTTTAATCATGTAAGGGCCACTGAGCTATGTAGTTCTTTTTCAGGAACGGCCTGGCTATCACAAATAATAGCTCAACAAAGTGGCTCAACATCATGTGAACATTTATTGCAGCCAAATACTCGAAGCACATGTTTCTAAATGTGGAGGTAAAAGCCGGAGGACCCGGAGAAAAATCCACATGACCACGGGGAGAGAGAGAGACACGCAAACTCCAAATATACAGCAGGCGTCAGGGTTGGGATCGAACCCACAACCTCCTAGAGAGATCGGCATTGTGTGTGGTTCAAGCCGTGTTTGACCGCTGTGGCAGCTTCCCCCACTGAGTGCTCGCCGTAGTACCAAACGCTAAATTGTCATTCATCTTTATTTGTAAACGTGACGGACATTCACAGAGCTAGACAAAGGTTAAAACAAACAAGGCCTTCTTTTTTGTTTTGGCACATTACTGGTATTCTTGGTTCTTTCGGTAAAGCCACATAGAAGGGAAACAATAAAATAATATAAATATCAAACAATAAAATTCTCACGACGTTTCGACTGCAACACAAGCAATCATCACCTGATGATGATTGCTTGCATCACCTGATGATGATTGCTTGTGTTGCAGTCGAAACGTCGTGAGAATTTTATTGTTTTATATTTTTATTATTTCATTGTTTCCCTTCTACGTGGTGACTTTACCGAAAAAACCAAGAATATGAATCCCTGCAGTCACGAAAGCTTTAAATCAAAACATTACTGGTAGTCGTAGAGATAGTGTCGCTATGACTGTAATTGCCACATTATTGAAGCAGGATATATTTATTTGTTTATTGAGGTGTAGGGAGGGGTGGGTCTCTCAACATCAGCAGCAAGCCCCTCAAGGGCCCCCTCGCGCTGGCCCTGCCTGCGAGAGGGCGCCGTCAATCAACCGCCTCTTTGTCGCCTTTTCAGACGGCGGCGGCATCGGCGCGGACACCGGCGGCATCTTGAGCCTCCAGCAGGAGCTGGACGGGCTGCGTGAGCAGCTGCAGGCCGTGAGCCAGGGCCACCAGCAGGAGGTGAACGTTCTTAAGGAGCACCTGCTGACCACCCAGCGGGACCACCAGGCCGAGCTGCTCAAGCTGCGTGCCGCCAACGAGCAGCTGTCGGAGGAGGCCAAGATCCTGCAGGCGCGGTATGAGCGCGCCGGCAGGGAGAACCAGGAGAACCTGGAGCAGTGGAGGGGCCGGCTGGAGGCCTTGGCGCAGGAGCACCAGAAAGCCATGGAGGATTTGAGGACCTCCCTGGTGTCCGGCTGCGAAGCCCACCGCAGGGAAATTGCCGAGCACAGGTCCGTCGTTGAGAGCTTGAAGGCCGAGGGCCGCCAGGAGCTGGAGGTTTGGAGGGCCAAGCACAGCGTGGAGGCGGGCGCCGTCGCCAAGGAGAGGGAGCAAATGCGTCGCGAGCTCGAGGAGGTGCAGGAGGAGAAGGAGAAGGAGATCGAGCGGCTGAGGGCGCAGATCGAGCTAATCACGGACCAGCACCTGGTGGAGCTGGAGGAGACATTGAGCAAGCAGCACGACGCGGAGGAGAAGCTCAAGGAGCTGGAGGAGCAGCAGGTGGTCGGCCAGGAGGACGGCGACGTCCTCATGTCCCTCCGCGCCAAGCTCGCCGTGGCCGAGCAGAAGACCAAGGACTACGAGAGCCTGCGCGAGGAGGTGGCCCACGGTCGCGAGGAGGTCTCCAGGCTGCAGGAAAAGCTCCATACCCTGGAGGACATCAAGGTGGCGGTCAACAACAATGTAAGTGTTCTGGTTCTGGTTGTTTTTACTCAAGTAAAAAGCTTCTCCAGTTCTGAGACGTGTGAAAACACCTTGGCCTAATTGCCAATGGTCTGCAAGAAGCGGTGAATGCCTGACCACAGCACGCATCGTGCTTGGATGAAGTTGCCTGTTGAAGTATGAAAAATAAGAGGAAGTTTTACCCTTTCTAGCAATGAAACAGGTGTTAAGATGTTAATGCACCAAATAGAAACCTTTTCCAAAGCATAATGTCTGTATTAACCACACGTACTTGCGGTGACCATGCAAACAAATATGCTCTGATCATATATGCATTGTCTTTGAAACTGATTGGTCTACACAAGAGACAGCCTTGTTCTTTAGGGCCCAGTCTCACTAGCAGTGTCAGACCAGAGAACGCCAAAAGACGAACAGTACAAAGACAATGCATGTATCACAGCATTCATAGATCGGGGTGAGTCATTGCAGACGTCTCTCTCTCTCTGTCTCATAATTTATCGGGGGCTGTTCTCTGACACTCGGTGGAGCCACTGTTCAACGTACGTATGTACGTACGTATGTACGTTGAACTTCTTTCACGCCGGACGTAGCCGACCGTGCAAATTCCAAAATGGAAAGTCGTTCGTCCGATTGCGAGAGCGGTTAGTCGATCGTACGGGGTCACGTTGCGGCGGGGTTAAGTGAGAGTACTCCCACCAGTTGCAAGCCATCCGGCCGGCGTGAAAGAGTGGGCCAGAAATACCCTCGAAGAGCCCCCTGTCGTTTTACGGAGGCCCCTTCCGCCAACAGTGGCGTGAGCAGGCAGTTCGCAGGGCTGCGCTTTTACCTCTACCGTGACATCGCTGCAAGTGACATAATTGGAATGTCGCTAGGTGGAAGGGTAAGGAAAGGAAAATATCAGGATAATCGTCTTCACTTATCTGCTTCTGTTCCTCCCTTAAAACCCATCTGAGTCTAGCCCATCCTACTGCTACTCGCTGTCCCCCACCCCATAGCTACGATCAGGCCTACCTCTATCACTACACCTAATACTATCCTTACCACTATCACTACCCTTGCCCCTATCACTACACCTATCACTACCGCTACCCTTACCACGACCCCTATCACTACACCTAATACTACCCTTACCACTACCCCTACCACTATCACTACCCCTGCCCCTATCACTACACCTATCACTACCCCTACCCTTACCATGACCCTATCACTACACCTAATACTACCCTTACCACTACCCCTACCACTATCACTACCCTTGCCCCTATCACTACACCTATCACTACCGCTACCCTTACCACGACCCCTATCACTACACCTAATACTACCCTTACCACTACCCCTACCACTATCACTACCCTTGCCCCTATCACTACACCTATCACTACCCCTACCCTTACCATGACCCTATCACTACACCTAATACTACCCTTACCACTACCCCTACCACTATCACTACCCTTGCCCCTATCACTACACCTATCACTACCCCTACCCTTACCACTACCCCTATCACTACACCTATTACTACCCTTACCAATACTCCTACCCCTATCACTACCCTTGCCCCTATCACTACCCCTATTACTACCCTTATCACTACCACTATCACTACCCCTACCCTTACCACTATCACTACCCCTATTACTACCACTATCACTACCCCTACCACTATTACTACCTCTACCCTTACCACTACCCCTACCACTATCACTACCACTATCACTACCCCTACCACTATCACTACCCCTACCTCACTACCCCTACCACTACCCCTACCACTATCATTACCCCTACCACTACCCCTACCACTATCATTACCCCTACCACTATCACTACCCCTACTCCTATCACTACCTCTATCACTACCTCTATCACTACCCCAACTCCTCCCACCCATTCTCCTAACTGTCACCATAACTACACCACCGCCACTCTTAATAAACCCCAACTATTTATCTCTGCCACTGTCACCTCATGAGCCATTTTATCACCGTTGCAAAGCGCCTTGGAATAAGGCGCTCCTTGTGCACCTACGCAAGATGTAAGGAGACGGGATAAGATGAGAGTACGCGCTTACTGAATGGACCTTTGCCTGCGCGTTTTCCGCAGACGCAGGACATGAACGGGACTCTGGAGGGCGGTGACCAGAAGCTGGAACACGCCGTCAAGGGTCCGACGCCACCCCCCCCCCCACACCCCTCGACGGTCCCCCCACACGCCCCCACGCACGCCCCCACGCACGCCTCCACGCACGTCCCCACGCACGCCGCTCCACGTTTGGCGCTCTTCTAAGGACGCGCTTTGCGTTGTCGTTGGCGCCGCTGACGGGAACGCCACCGTTGCCTTGTTCTTCATGTAGACCTGCTCTCGAAGCTGAGCAGCAAGGAGGAGGAATGCAGAAGCCTCGGCCTGCAGCTTGAGAAGGCCCAGCTGCAAGTATCAGGTACTCCGGAAACAATGCAATCTCTCTTGCATTTGAAAAGCTCCGGCTTAGCTTCTCATTGATTCATCATGGATTTGTGAGTTAGGCCACGTCGTGATCTAGGTAAAGATCTGGTCAAATTTATGTCATGAGACCTTCCACCGCCTGACAGCACCAAACAAGTTTAATTGTCACGTGCAGGACAAATCTGACATTTTTTTTAAAATATGTATCTAATAGTTAAATATAATTGTGAGAATTGTTATTCAACTTACCGATGAGGTGAAACAATAAAAATTGGTGCAATATTGAATGATTGTACAACGTGGACATTTAATTTGTTTGACCGTGTCAGATGTGGGGAGGCTTTCACAACAAAAATCTGGCTAGAAATCGTTTCATAGCCAAACCTCAAAATCAATAACGAATCATGTTGCGGCTCAGAAAATCTACATATTAAACTAGCTTCTCATTAATTTGGAATCATTAATTTGTTGGTTTAGATTCACGAATAACACTCCTTTCTTGGCAAGCGCAGCAAGTGGTGAGATTTAAAGACTTACCGCGAATTTGGAATCCCAACGATCCATACAATTCCGTCGACTGTGTGGCACAAATTGTTGAAGAAGAAAAGTCTACGCTTCAGACGTTGAGAACGGCTGCTGTCACCTCCGCATGGCCGGGACACTAGGCTCACGCGTCGTCGTCATCATTGTCATCATCATTGTTGTCTTTGTTGTTGTCGTCATTGTTGTCGCCATCATTGTCGTCATTGTCTTCATTGTTGTCAATGTCGTCATTGTTGTCATTGTCGTCATTGTTGTCATTGTCGCCGTCATTGCCATTGTCGTAATTGTTGTCATCGTCGTTATTGTCGTCGTCATTGTCGTCGACGCCAGACGTGAAACAGAAATCGGCGGCGGGGGCCAACGAGCCGGCCAGCCTCAACGGCGCGGTGCCGGAGCCCGCAGTGGCCGAGCGGACATCCCCGCTGCCCCCCACGGACGGGGACGCCGCCGGGGACGCCGCCGGGGACGCCGCCGTGGACGAGCTGGGATCGGACCTGAGGCTGCGGCTCTCCGAGGCGCAGAAGATGCTGGAGAGCTCCGAGCAGCGCAACCAGCAGCTGCAAGCCCTCCTGGAGGCCTTCCGGGTGAGCTCCCATCGCGGCACGCCGGTCACGTTCGCCCGCCGTTTCAGTCGGCCCATTGCGAGATGTTAACCGCCTCGCCTGGTTTACAGGAGGTCGTGGGTTTGATCACGACCCTGACACCTGCTGCTGTATATTTGGAGTTTGCGTGTTCTCCCTGTGGTCGTGTGGCTTTTTCTCCGGGTCCTCCGGTTTTTCCCTCCACATTTCAAAACATGCCTTTGGAGTATTTGGCTGCTATCATTTGTGTTGGCCAAGTCACTTCGAGGGTTTCTCCACGCCGAGCGGGGGTTGCAGGGTTTATTTGATCGTGGTGTCCACCACGCTATTTGGTGCCGGTCGGTGATGGGAGAGGGCAGGGGCCCAGAATCGGTTCCGGTAAGCAACCAGCGCTAGTCGTGGGCGGGAATTGGACTCGAGTCGCCGGATTCGTAGCTCCAACCGCCGCGCTCGTCAAAACAAACCCCCAGCTCTGAATGGTGTGGGGAGGCATTAATCTGGCAGTGGATTTAGAAACGACTGAGGCTTGTAATTTCATTGCTAATGTTATTCGATAACGTTTGACTAAACTGTGAGCTCTGCTTCGTGCACGGGGTTATATTCTCTTGAAGCTTCTGAGAACCTCGTGTGTATGTAGTGTACGCACACGGACAAACACACACACACAGGTTTCAGTGAAACTTGGTTTTGTTGCGATTCTCCCAGAGTGCCAAAGACAGGCGAAGCGCTGCCGACTTGGAAGACGGCGACCGAAGGTAAGGTTTTTGATGTTTGTGTTTACCTCGCCTGCACGTCACTTGTTGAATTCGCGCGATGCGTTGCCGGACGGAAAACCCGCTGGGGACTCGAAACATTCTCGTTGGCTTTCCAACCGCTGCCGTTGAGTGCAAGACAATGCCCGTGGAAAAGGTCATGGCGTTGGAGCGTGCTCATGGCAGGCCATGAGAACCGTTCACATATCCACTCGGCTCCGCCACCCAGGCGTACCACGGTGGCAAGATGTTATCTCCGTCGCCTGGTATACAGGAGGTCGCTGGTTCGATCCCCTGACGCCTGCTCTATATTTGGAGTTTGCGTGTCTCTCTCCCTCTGGTCGCGGAGATTTTTCTCCGGGTCCTCCGGTTATTCCCTTCACATTTACATAGAATCAACGAGAGTTTAGAGTATTTGGCTGCTATAAATTTCCACGTGATTAGCCACATCGTTGAGCTATCATTTGTGGCCAGGTCGCTTCTGAAAAAGAGCTTAGATCTCAGTGGGCCTTACCTGGTAAAATAAAAAAAAAAAGTTCATAGTTTTTTTCTAACAGCTGACACGAGCACTCTCCCTTGGCGCCGTCGCCCACCGCGCATTGCCACGGGGAGCACTGCCGTCGTACCCGCAGCACCCATCACACCATCACAACCACAACAACCACCCAGCATGCACCACTGCCGCTCCCACACCGCTGCCACCACTGCCGTGCCGTGCGTTCTGAAGCCGAACGCGAACAAGAATCCCTCACACACCTGTGTGGCGATTTTCCGAAACTAAGTAAAAGACATGGGTAAAAGCATGGGCAAACAAACCCGTTGACCTGAAGCATTCAAATGTACGCGTTTTTTTAATTAACCGCAATGTACGAGGGCACTGCGGAAATAATGCCGATCGTCATCGCTGTTGTCATCGCAGCAGCGAGGGAAGCTACTGAATTATAGATTATCTCGGTAGCTTTCAAAACTCGGCAATCCCTCAAAGTAACTAAGTGTCCCCCCGCACGCCTACCTGGCAAATGTGAGCCATTGAACTTGACAAGTTTTACTGTGTCACGACCACTCCTTTGAATTTGCACGCTCCCTACACAGTGCTCGCCTCGCCATCCTTTCCGAATTAATCCGTGTCTTTTTCCCTCTCTTGTTTCACGTCGTGTTTTCGTTTTTTGGCTTGCACTCTCTCACCTTGCGATTCCTCCACCATGGTAAGAACGAGCGAAGCAGACCCTCACTGACCCCGCCACCCACCCGCCCCCCACCCCGGCTGCCCCTCACCTCGGTCGCCACCCCACGTCTCCCTCGCGACTCCCTCCTTCTCCCCCCCCACACACGCACGCACGTTACAGACGAACGGCTCCTGGGCTGTAGCGCGCATAGTGCCAAACGCTCGACAGAGTACCACCCTGCCACACCGCCACCCCACCACCACCCCTACTTCCCCCTTCTTTCGTCTGTTTGAGTAGGCGCCGCCGCAAGTAATCGTGCGTTTGTTGCAATTACAATACAATTTGTATTTATATAGCGGTGTATAAATGCAAGCGCATTTCAATACACTGTACGGCATACAGTGTGCGTATTTATTTTGTAGAGAGGGGCAGTCAATCATATTGCAAATGAAACATGGATGGATCTTGAGTTTGGACTTGAACAGAGGCAGGGAGTTAACAGCACCAATGGCTGGGGAAAAGGAGTTCTACAGTATGGGGTTGCAGCAAAGGAGAAGGAGTGACCTCCCATCGAGCGACGGTTGAGCGGGAGTAATTGATAGACTTCCTCGATTGTTGGAACGGAGAGCTGGCCTGTTGTCCTTCTGGAGTCATCTGTGCGTCTTTCCTGTCTTTGCCTCACTTCCTTGCCTGGCTCCTCACTCACTCATTCACTGTCTTGTTAGAGGAGGAGGTGGTGGTGGTGATGATGATGATGGTGGCCATCATCGACTGAGCAAGGCCAGAGTTGCCAAGTGGCCGGGTTCAATTGTTCGTAAGCACAAGTGGCCATCGTAGGTTATAAGCTCACGGGCACCAGTGGCAAGCGCGTCTCATCTTTGTTCATCAACAAAATAATGCTCTGTGCTCAGCGTGCGAGGAACTAACAGATAATTGCCAGGTCTGATGAGAGGGGATGGAAAGAGGGTTGGTTACAACTGCACCAGCGCCGCAAGCACATGGTGGCAGAGGCAGCGGGGGGTTGGAGACACAAACATTACAATAATTTATTTGTCCGATTTTACGGGAAAGAATTGGGACCCATAGCCAATATTCTACTGGCCGGGTGGCTCAGCGGTAGAGCGAGCCGCTCGCAATTGGAAGGGCGTGAGTTCAAATCCAGGTTGGTGGATGACTCATCCCATCATCCCTCTGGGATAGATAAAATTATTACCACCTTTTGGGCGAAGTAACCGTTGGTTGTCCTATGGATAGCATCGTCCCCTGCCATAAAGTGTGGAATTTCCGACCACTGGCTCAGGGCTGTGAACAGGAGATAAGCACCAATGCCTCAATGCTCATTAAGAGAAAGGAATCAGGTTGTTGTTTTTTTTACACTTCAGCCAACGTTATGCACCGGGGAACCAGATTTCTCTCGAAGGGACTGGTTATCGGCAAGTTGCTATCGTAAAACACGAGATTTTCGAGTCGAAAAAAAAACTCGATCATTTTTTGCCTCTGTTGGGGTGGCCGGGGGTGGCTGCCCAGGCAAGGCAAAGCGCCGATCCCACGGAGATAACCCAGACTCCAGCGCCAAACAATAGCTTGTGAATCGACATCTCGTAAACAGCGAGCGTGGTTTCCCTCGCTTGAACCATTCTAGTGGCGCCGCTTCTGTTCGCGGCGTCGGCTGCGTTGATGCTGACCGGTGTTTGCAAGCGATGGCCTTAATTCTTTTGAAAGTGCTTGCGGGGCCTTGTCATGCAGGCTCGCAACCGTACGTTGTCCCTCCATGCGTAGCACTTTAGGTTGGACTGCACGTTGGCGCATTTTTTCACTCAAGCTTTCGCCACGCACCACTGAGGGCATCTTCATTTTTCCGCTCCTGGACTTGAATTCCCGATGGTGCCCACAGTAGCACGTGGTGAGGACCTGAGAGACGAAAGGCTCGGCACATAACCCAACCTGGAAAACTGCACCGGGACAACGTGTGGCTGCGGGAAAAAAAAAAACCCTTCGTGCAACCATAGGTTGCTCTGTTAAGCAACTGCGTTCCCCCCAAAAATTGCCTAATTGCCACGTGCCACTTTTAAATGAGCAATTTTTTAAAACTTTATTTTTCGTTTTAATCTATGCGTTACGAAGAAGGGAGAGAATTTGCGGGACAGCCATGCCCCCGATTAGCTTGCTTGAATATAGGATATCCACGAGGATCAGCGATGCAGTGCATTAAACGCCTTCGCCCAAGATGCGCTGAGACTTGTCCGACAGTTCAAATGCAATGAAACAACACAAAAAACCACAACCGATTAAAACATTCGTGCGAAAACGAGTCGATCACGAACAAAATCGGCCCATTTAAAAACAAAAAAACGTTTTAAAATGTTTCTGTCGTTCGCCGACGCGCCATGGAGCACGCGAGCATGGCGCCGCCGATCGCACGGCCCCGTCCATGCCGCTGGCCGCGCCGCGTCTGGAGCCGCACTGAGCAGCGTCTTCTAAAGACCGCAATGAGGTTGCAGCGTCGTCGAACGTCCGGCGCGGGTAGAAAACGCGTAGACCGTCTAACACCCCCCGACCCCCGACCCTCGTTCGCGCGAACCCTACGCCGCTATAACGCCCCTTGCATGTGTCTTTCCGTCTGTGTGATCCAATGGTAAAATATTATAACGTTAGTCATTTATTAATCGTATAATAATAATCAGAACAGTAACATCATCACGGCAAGACGCGGTAACACGTTTGAGCGGCCACATGGCCCATGCCACAGATGCTTGGTTTTCCCTTTACCGTCGTAGCGTAAGGGAGCATGGGACTTTGCTTTTGTGCGAGGCCCCCTGGAAACGTTGGTTTGGTGTGTTGCTGTGTTGTGTGAGAGAGAAACTGTGTGCGAGTTTATACACCTCCGGCCCAACTTGTTACCGACACCACACCTGCATTGTACATAACACCACAGTCGTCACTAATTTACGTTGTCCTTTGGTCACTCCATTACTTTGATCGCATTTTGAGTCGTCAGCGAATCCTTCCCGCGCGTTGTCGTCAGCCACGTCGCTCGCGCGCTCGCTGCACTTTGAGTGCAATTGTAGCTGCGGGTGATCGACGCTCGTTCACTTTTAAACGGTCGCTGCGCGCTACAACGCATGTATCCTCGCTATATTATCTGCTCCTCGCGGTAGTTAAGAGTTGAAGACGATGAAGAAGAAAAAAAACAACGATGATGGCAAAAGGTAAATAAAGGCAAATATTTGTAAGGACTTTGGTGGCGGTGGTCTCTGGTTGCACGCCATTGTGGTCCAGCGTCTTGACAGCTGTAAATGTTACAAAACTTCCATTGTGTACAAAGCGTCCACGACCTTTAAATGTTTAGAGGAAACCTTCAAGTTTAACATTGGTTACATGCGGCGGGGTCAAGTGTGGACATCCCCCACCTCTTCGAAGACGTCTCGCCAGCGTGTACCATCTTGAGCAGTCCTTTTTAACCCTTTACTGCAGCCTTGCACCCCTTTGGTTCTCAATCGTAAAGCAATATATAATGTTAATATCTACATAGGTTGGATGAAACAAAGTAGTTGTACTTAGGTGCCTGTGCTTAATTTGTGTTTCGATGATTTACCTTCTAACAAAAATCTGGCCACGTCTCGCATTCCCAGAAAGGGCATCTCGCACCCCCAGGGGGTGCAACGTGCACCCCCAGGTGAAGAAGAAGAACCGCTCTCTAGCGCTCCCCACTTGTGGTGGCGAGCTTGCGCGGTGTGCAACACCGGGTTAGGCTGCCTCGAGTGACTTAGTCGGCGGTCGCCCGCAGGTGAACGAGGCGTACTAACACGACACGCGTTGGGACGTGCCGCTTGACCTCTTAACCCCCGCAGCGAGGTGGTGGTGAGACAGGAATCGAACGAGAACTCCCACAATGCATCGCAACCGACGGATACCCCGAAGGATGCTGGGACGGATGCAGTTCAGAGTCCCACGCGTGGAGAGGTAAGGACGTTTAGTGATGAAGCTGGCGATTGTTGAGATGTTGGTGTTTGCCGCACCCTGGACCTTAACGCGAATCTGATAACATTCCCCCCGCATGTGCCTCGTTGACTCCAGGTTTCATTTCTCAACGCGGTGATCGTGGGGCTTCAGCAGAAGAACGAGGAGCTCAAGGGTAAACTGGAGAAGCTGGTGGAGGTGTCGTTGAATGGAGATGACGAAACTTCACCATCGTGAGTCTTGCTGTCCATTACCGGGTTTTCTGTCGAACTTTCGATTTCAACGTTTGACACAATGCATATATTGTTACCATTTCAATTTTCCATTCGTGATGCTGTACTCCCGGCTCAATGATGGTGTGAGAATTAAAAGCTAGCTAGCAAATGAAACAAAATGAAACGAAGTTGGGCAAGACGTAAAATGCTACAGATGCGGGTGAAATTAAGAACGGCATGGAGGCCGATGAAGGGAAGGAGCACGAGACGTGGACAGGAATTGAGATGGTGAGACAAAGTTAGAGGATTTGGAGGTGCACGTGGCATAGACGCAGCAACTGATCGTGAAGAGTGGGAGACCCGGAGCGTTGCCATTGAGAGGTATATTTTTAGCAGCCGTGTGCTTCCCAAAAGTCACGCACCCAAGGATCATTTCATAGCATTACGTGAAACATTATTTGAATTTCACTCGGATGCTCGTTCGTAAAATTAGTTGCGATCCTGGTTTGGTGTCACATCCTGCACCTTGCTGGTATTGGCCTCTTGTCGCATCAGCCGTGGCACAGCTTGCATCACTTCTCAAACGCGGGCGTCCCCTCCTCTCCCCCACCCCACCCCTGCCGTCGTCTCGAGCGTTCAATTCCTTCCCGATTGCCCCCCCCCCCCCCCCGCAGGAAGTCCAAGTCGCGCTCTCGCCGGCCGCCCCCCCGAGTCTTCTGCGACATCTGCGACCGTTTCGACCTTCACGACACCGAGGAGTGTCCCACGCAGGGTCCGCCGCCGACCCTGCCCGCCGGCCCTTCTCCGGCGTCGTCGCCGTCGTCCGGTCCGCCGGCCGCGCGGGCGGCATCGCCGCCTCCGCCCTCCCCGGCGCCGGCGTCCCCTCCACACTCGGCGCACCGAGGGCCACGCAAACAGAACCGGCCCTACTGCGACGCGTGCGAACTGTTCGGCCACTGGACGTCCGAGTGCAACGACAACCAGACCTTTTGAGAGAGGGAACGGGCCGCCCGCTTGCGCGCCGCGTCGTCCCACTCCTCGTACTGCTGCTGCTGCCGCCGCCGTACGGTCGCGGAGAATGAGCTAAACCTTCTTCTCCCGCTTGTGCGTGGCTCTCTATAGCGAATCTTAAGCCCATGTCTGGGTTCGATAGCCCGAGCTCAGCCTCGGCGAAAGCCGAATGGATGTCTGTGATGCCTCCGCTGAATTTAACCGAGGTGCACAATGTTGTTCGCTCCGCTCTGGTCAGGATTTCCACGGCCGTATGCCGCCGGAATTTCTCTGATTATTTTTGTTTGTTTTTATTTCCGCGTGGATTGGCGGTGTGGCCGCCACACCGGCCGTGGACACTTACGGATGGATCCGGTCCAGCGTACGCCGTTGCTTTCGAGGCAGGTCCAACTCGTAACGAGCTAAACCGAACAATTATCACAAAACTTGAATCGGCACGACCCAGTAGAGTCTGCCCGGTGGTCGCGGGTAACGGCACCGTGCCACCTGCCAGGGGTGAGGCTCCCAACGAGGTTTAATGCCTTCTCTTGAAACGTCTGGCAAATGTGGTTAGAGTTTACATTTTTAGTTTTATTAATTTCATTTCTGCTTTTTTTTGGTAATTCAAACTGCACTTGCATCTAAGTGGTCGGCATTGCTCTCTAAAACAGAAGCTTGTTAAGGTATATTTTTTGTATTTTAAAGACGTTAGCCAAGTACTACTATTTACACTCTCCCTCCTGAATGTTCGTCACATGCTGGATGCGGTATAGAACAGGCTCGTTCATATGCGAGTCCAAAAAAACATGATAAAAAAATTCACCAATCCTCTATTCGCCACTAAATGACGGTGATGTCACCACGGCACCTATGCCAGGCCAGGTGCACTTTGAGGCCACTTGAAATGTCGAAGGCTCGCTGACAGGAGGTCTCGGTACAGACCCAGGTGCCATTGGTTGGCTAACTGAGATGACTGGTAGATGCACCAGCTTTACCCCCTACTGTGCCAACTTTCTGCATTTTAGCCGCCGGGTGCTCCGCTCGTTGTTGTGAGCGTCGCTCCTCTGCCTTCCGTTGTTGCTGGAGGACGACTGCTTCCAACTGCTCACTAGCGTCCTTCACGAGCCTCCGCCATACAGGCCGATCTTGACACCGCTGGCACTAGTCGTTAGCAAGTCTACTCAGCTCCACATCCTCCTGTATCGCATCAGTCCATCTCTTTTCCAGCCCATGTCGTGCCCGTTTAGCCCCATCTATGCGGCCAAACAGGAGTTGCTTGAGCATGCGGTGGCTGGGCATGCGGGTTACATGACCCAGCTCACACACACACACAGCCGCAGAATGCTCTAAGTGTGAGCTGACCCCGTGGAAATTTGATCGTTTCATCGAAGGTGGATGGCTGAGTTACAGAAAGAACAAATCAATGCCCGTCCTGACACGGGGACCACGGAACGCTCGCTTATAGTGCCGCACTGCCGATGCATCCGGCCAGGTCTCCCTCCTTCCTTGTTCTCCTCGTGTCCTGCCACCACCGTCCTGCCACCACAGTCAGCTCGTTCTTCCGCCGAGTCACCCGTCATCCTGCCAGGTGGCTCGGCGCCACAGCGAGCGGCTCGCAATCGGAAGGTCGCGAGTTTCAAATCCTGGTTGGCAGTGGCGAAGAAAGGGGGGGGGGGGGTGATTTAGCTCATCATTCCCTCGGGGTCGATAAAATCAGCACCAATGAGAACCGATTTTTGGGGAAAGTCCAGAGTGGTTGTTCTATGGGTTGGACTCGCCCCTACCGTGGGTACATGGACTTTCTACCACTGTCACATGACCCGCCCGATTTTCTAACCGACACAGTGGACCTCTGATGATGACTGCAGGACAAAAAACGTGGAATTCCTTCGCCACTATTGCCCAACCGTTCCCTCCCCCACCCCCCTCTTGACTTCTCCCCCGGCAATTCTATGACTTGCCATGAATCGGGTGGGGTCATGATTTTTCTGTTGTGGTGAATGTAGCGGTCTCTAGTGGCAACAGGGTCACGTGCTCCCATTATAAATAAGGTATTACAGCCAATAAAAATGATTGACATTCAGCTCTCTGTCGACGATCCACTGCTGGAGGAAGGCCTCCCCACACCAGGTCGGTCAGCAGAGGCTGTTTGACCATACTTCACCACGCTGGCGAGTGTGGGTTGGGTCAAGGTGCTGCCACGGAGTGATGCTGGCGCTGTTACTCGTAAATGTATCTCGAACGGGTGTGATATTCACCCCACTCCATCTCTCCTGTTAAGTTTCATTAATATGTCTGCGTCGTTTCGGTTTCCTCCCACGTGTATAAACGCTCGTTCATTGGCTGGAAATATCTTAATATTTATAGAGAGAGAGGACTGCGGAGCTTTGGCAATAGTTGGTAGTGCTAACCGCCTTGGCTGCTGCCTCGAAGCTTTGGCTCTTCGGTGATTGTGAGAGATGCAGTTTGCGTGAACAACAAATGACACTGTAGATAAAAACTTACGTGAACAAACTTACAGCGCCTGTGTTTTTTCGTGAGCGCTGTATCTGGTATGACGTATAACAATAGGTTTTACCCTTTCTGGCAATGAAACGGGAGGTGTTAAGATGTTCAAACACCAGATAGATACCTATTGCAAGGTATCATGTCTGCATTAACCGCACATACTTGTGTAAAAACATGCACTCAAACATGCTCTGACCATATACGCATTGTCTTGATTGGCCTATACCAGAGACAGCCTTCTCGATGGCCTTGGTGAGCACTCCAGTATAAGTCTCATTCTTTATGGCCTTGTCTCTTAACTTGGTGAGCACTCCAGTATACATCTCATTCTTTATGGCCTTGTCTCTTAACTTGGTGAGCACTCCAGTATAAGTCTCATTCTTTATGGCCTTGTCTCTTAACTTGGTGAGCACTCCAGTATAAGTCTCATTCATTATGGCCTTGTCTCTTAACTTGGTGAGCACTCCAGTATAAGTCTCATTCTTTATGGCCTTGTCTCTTAACTTGGTGAGCACTCCAGTATAAGTCTCATTCTTTATGGCCTTGTCTCTTAATTTGGTGAGC